CCAGCTAGATTAGCATAGGTGTACACAGTAATTTGCAAATAAGTTCTGCTCCCTGGAACTGGGAACTAAGTTACCACTACTTAAGACCAAGACTTTACCATTTGTGCAAGGTTTGTTTTGTTGTTGTTTTTTATGATTATATGAAGGAACATGAGCTTAAATCTTGCTAGCTCAACATTTTAGTAATCTCTCATTATTATTATAATATTGTATGTAAAATTACCTCATAACAAAAACTGCAGTGATGCCGAAACCGGTTTGGCTCAGCGGATAGAGACCTGGGACCTTTCAGTCCGATCTGTGGACTGAAAGGTCCCAGGTTTGATTCCGGTCAAGGGCATGTACATTGGTTGGGGGCACATCCTCAGTAGGGGGTGTGCAGGAGGCAGCTGATCAATGTCTCTCTCTCTCATTGATGTTTCTAGCTCTCTATTCTTCTCCCTTTCTCTCTGTAAAAAATGAATAAAATATAAATAAATAAATAAATAAATAAATAAATAAATAAATAAATAAAACAAACTGCAGTGAGCTGGTTATTTTCTCTTTGACTGCCAGACCCACTCTTTACCCTTCTCTGTCCAAATCTGTGCCCTGCCAGCTGAACTATAGAGGCTATATCAATTGGCTCTCAGCCCAAGTGAAAGGAGAGGGAGGTTTTTGCATTTAATTCTCTTTCTCCAGCGTATAGAAATTTCCATCAAATATCACAGTTCTACTCCAAAAACCCTCTCCCTATAGCTACCTACTACTGAGGTCTGGAGCTGGAACATTTCCCTTCAGACCTAGGAGTAATAAAGAGCTTAACAACCACCATCATCTTTTGCTGTTATAGCCCCAAGGTCTTTCAATATCCTGTGAATATGTCTTTAAATATTTTCACACCTTTGTAAAACACACTTTTATTAATATTCCTTGCTCACTTAGTTTGAGAGTGCCATCTGTTTTGTGCTGGAACTTTGATTGACATTCAGAGAAATGCTTCTGATTTTGGATAAATGTTCTCAGGTATCAGCAGAATCTGAAGGCTACCTTGGATCAAGCTATAGAAGATCACTTTCTTTAATACATTTATAATATTTATCAGGATGATACTCAGCTTGGGATTCAGAAAATGTCTCATTAAAAATGCAGCCTTGCCCCGGTTGTGTGGCTCAGTTGGCGGGAGTGCCATTCTGTACACTGAAAAGCCACATGTTTGACTCCCAGTTGGGACATACCTGGGTTCTGGGTTTGATCCTCAGCCCTGGTTGGGACACTGCGGGAGGCAACCAATTGATATGTCTCTCTCAGATCTATGTTTCCCTCTCTTTTTTTCCCCTCTCTAAAAATATCAGGTGAGAATTTTTTTTTTTTTAAAGGCAGTCTTGATTCTGAAATGTGAAACAAATTAGTTTTTGCATAATTTCTACAGAACAAGTAAATGAAAAGCCTGCACTCCTACATGGGTAGGCAGAGCACAGCAATAATCCTGCATCACAGTGTCCTGTCCTAGGAGTAAGATCATCTTGCCTTCTCCCAAATTGAGAAGATGAGTGGCCAGGAGGGATTGCAAAGATAAATAGTTTCTTCTGTGTTTAGAAAAGAGTGGCCTATGAGGTGAAAGCAAATGAGTTAATTGTTCCTTTTCTGATTCATTCTCCTTGTTGGCAGTTTTTTTATTAACCACAGAGCTGATGAGGTTTCTTTCTTTGTCAGAAACCTCCATAGCTACCTTTGACTGTAAGACAAGTATGATAAATACCCAACATGTAAGTGGTCATCTACTCCCAGAGCCTTCTTACCCACTATCGCTGCCTTCAGTCTGAGAACCACTTCCATCACAGAGTTCCAGGTAACAAATACTTACATTACTTTTTACTCAGGGTAAGTATATTTTCCAATCTTCTCCTATAAAATAAAAAATGTTACAAATTCAAAAGCATGGCATTACATAATCTGGCCCCATTTTTTTATTCTAGCATTTTAGCACTTCTCCTCTTACTCTTTGGTGCCATATCTTCAGATCTTTGTACTATGCATAGCACATATTCAGTGTTTGAGATATTTGTTAGACTAATATTATGTAATCCCATTATATAATTAAAGTTCTCTTTAAGCACACACATGCAACATTTAAATTTGAGCCAACTATGTTTCAAATATTGATGTAGCACCAGATAATATTTGTAAATTCATTTGGAGCAGTTACTTATATACATTTATTCATATAGATTTAGGAGAAAAATGGTATATTAATTTAAAAGTTAGAAATATATTCCTTATAGAGCAAACCTACATGTGTATGCCCAATGTGTCTTTAACTGAATCTTGCAAATAAATGGCTCTGATGACATAAATATTCTCATAACATATTTACATGTGAGTCCCAATTTTTTATTAGTTGTATCCAGCACTTCACACTGTATAGGTAATTGTTTTTGAGACAAGTCTAAAGTAAATAACAAATTCCTGCTATTCTCCCAAGTTGTCTCAATTTTACCTCTCCTTAGAAAAGCCCATTGTGATTTATCTGATAACTCTTTTTAGGGTTAAGCTTCATAACACTAATTTATTGACTTTCAGCTTAAATTTCTTAAACAGAAGAGTAAAACCAAAACAGTATTTTTAAAATTAGAGTTATATTTTTTAAATGTATTTAAGGAAAAGAAATCAATACTGAATATAAATAACTATTGATAACTCCTATTTATCAATGCAATTGAGAGCATAACAAATTGATATTTAGATAAATTTTATTCCCTCAGTATTCCTGGAGAGACTGCTCTAGTCAGGACTGGATTGAAGGTTGGGAAAGACTTATCAAAGGAGGCCACTGCTCATCCTCCCAGAGCATACACACATGTGGGGAAAGAAGACATGTGCAGAAATTATTGTAACCCAATTATTAATTTTAAATTTTATTTGTTAGATAATATTTTAAAGCTACCCTTTATTGAGAACTTACTGTGTAATGGAAAATAATTATTTTTAATGTATTATATCATTTAATCCTCATGACAATTCTATATAGTAGGTAATTCTCATTTTAAGTTATAGATGAGAAATTAAAGCTCAAATAATCTGGATAACATGAAGTTCAACTGGCTAATAAAGCCCATGCTCACAAGGAGCCAGAAATTAATTATTGGAGTTATATTTTTAGACAAACTTTGAAAATCTTAAAACATAACAAAGCCAGGATATAAATAATTCTAAAACTGAATTGTCATGTTCCAGATAATTCAAGCTATTCCAAATAGCTGGAGGTTGATAATTTTTTAGCAAATAAACCCACTGGAAAATATATTTTTAAGTCTTTTTTTTTTTTTTTTTTAGAAGCAGCAAAAATAAATTTAGATGTAGAAAAAAATGATAGTTGGTTTTTATCTCAGCACAGAATTTGTCTTCATAAATAAGCCACAATGATATGTGGATGTGTGGCCAAGAGTGATAAGATTACAGAATAAAAACTAGAAATACAATCACAATAGTGGAGTCTGGGAGAGCTTATTTGAAATTAGATTTGACATATTAGAAGCAGCTTTATTATTTTCACATATTTTGAAAGTGAGAACAGTAAAGTAGAGCAGAAAAAACCTATTGATATGAGAAATTTTAGTTTCTGTGTAATTTCTAATATAGGAAGAAAACTATGAAATTCAACTTTCCTTAAGAAATTACAATTGTTAAAATTTGAAGTACTATGCCTCTGTTTCAGCAAAATTTTTCTAAGTAACATAGAATAAGTGTTGTTAGGATCCTGAAAGTTGCTTTCATATATTGAGAGAACAGATCACTTACATACAGAATAGTCCATTGCCTGAGCTTATATCCATCATGTTTGCACAGAGGCCAGAAATGAGAGGTATAGTTGAGTTACTGCTGAACACAATATGAAGTTAGAGATCCCTGCACAAATGCCCTGCACATGTGTGAAAACAACAGTGGATTTCAATTGGAAGATGGCTCAAAAATTCTATAATCAAGGAGTGATGTCAGAGGAAAGGTGTTGTGAAAGATTCCCTTGGCCTCTCCATCTGAAATTACAAGTTAATCAACTATAATACAATAAAGAAATCCCGGTTCAATACAGAGGCATGCCTGAGAGACCTATGCATTGAAACATCTAAAGATGGGCAACCAAGAATAAACAGGGAGATGAGAAGGAAGGAAAGCTCTGACAACCTGCAGATGCATCCCTGCAACTGGGAGCTTGCCACTTGGGCTGGAGAGGGGAGGAATCCAGCAGTAGCAGGCACTTCCTTTGGCCAGGTGGACCAGAAGGCTGAGGGAGAAGGGGAAAGTCCAGCAAGGTGAGTGGTGAGCAGAGCAATGACTGAGCCAGCAGACAACTGACAAAGCACGGATCTTCTATGTGGCTCTCCACTGTTGGACGGTGGTGTTTCAGACAAAGAAATAGAACTACAGGGGCCTACTGCCACTTGCACTCCCAAACCTTGCCTCTTGTTGTCCTCGGAGTGGGATCAAGTTGCATATTATCTGTATACCAAGAGCTATTGCAGTAAGTAGAACTGCAGTTACCCTCTGTGACTGATTACCAGGTGGGGTGCTTGGGGTGGGACTCCACAAAGGTCTGAGTCACCATTATGGTGAGGGCAAAGCAAAGCCCAGCCCCAACCAGCACAGTTGTACTGTCTGGAAGCCCTGAGATCAAAACTGGGAGATGACAAAGGTAAAAAATCTTGCAGTTCAGCGCCATCCACTGGAAAATGGTAGAAAGACCTCTTCAGAGGAAACTATGACATGTGCTGACCACAAGGGTCCAGCACAGAAACACGGCGAACATTGGCAATGTGGTAATTGCAGGTGGCAGCAGTGGAGGCACTGCCAGCCCCAATGGATTCTGATGAGAGTGGGACCACAGTGGGAGAGTGGAGCAGGTGAGCAGGTACAAGCTGGGGCCCAATCGCGATTAGGGATCCAATTGCCTTGCCGATCACCCTGCAGATACTATACTAATCGGCATGGCAGGAGCCTGGCCCTAAGTGATTACTCCACAGGCGGGATGGTGGAGCAGGTGAGGGGACAGCATCAAGTCAAGACGGGGTGTCAAGAGGGGCTGGAGGGCTGCAAGGTTGGGGGCATAAGCTAGAGCTCGATCTCCACAGGCCACCCTAAGTGACCCCACCTGTGCATGAATTTGGACACTGGGCCTCTACTATCAGAATAATAGGCATTCTGGAAGAGGAAGACAGGGTGCAAGGAATGGAGAGTTTATTCAAACAAATGGTGGCTGAGAACTTCATAAACCTATGGAAAGAACTAGATCCTCAAATTGAAGAAGAAAACAGAACATCTAGTTACCTCAATCCAAAGAGGCCACTCCAAGGTACTTTGTATTAAAACTGTACAAAATTAATGACAAAGAAAAAAATTCTCAAAGCAGCCAGGGAGAAGAATGAAGTGACCTACAAAGGAAAAACCATTAGAATTTCATAATTCTTACCAGAAATACTACAAGCAAAAAGAGAATAGAACCAAATAGTCAAAGGCTGAAAAAGAAATTGCCAGCTATGAGTAATTATCCTTTAAATATGAAAAAGAACTTGGCTGGTGTTGCTCCGTGGATTGAGCATTGTCCTATGAAATAAGAGATCTTGGGTTTGATTCACACTCAAGGCACTTCTCTTGGGTTGCTGGCTCAATCTCCAGTTGGGGGTGTGAAGGAGGCAACCAATCAATGATTCTCTCTCATCATTGATGTTTCTATCTCTCCTTCTCTCTTTCTATCTAAAAATCAGTAAAAAAGAAAAAAATTAAATATGAAGGAGAAATACATCCCCAGGTATATAGAAGTTGAGGGATTTTATCACTAGAGACCTTCCATTGCAGGAAATCCACAAGGGAGTTATTCTACCTGAAACAAAGCACATAAGATCACAAACTATGAGTAAGATCACCACAAAACTTACAGCATAAACAGGGATAGTTTGTGACAACAAAAACATTAAAGGGGAGGAGATAAAGGTATGAACTGGCAAATGAAGACCAGATGGACTCAAAAGAAAATAAAACAAAACAAAACAAAAAAACTACTCTATATATATATATATATATATATATATATATATATATGCAACTTTATATTTTATAAAGCTAATGTAACCACACACAAAAGTCCCCAAACCAGAAACATAGCTTTAAAAACGAGGAAACAGGAAAAATCAATATGGTGGCATAGGTAAATACCTGAACTTGCTGCCTCACACAACCAATTCAAAACTATAGCCGAAATCAGTTTGGCTCAGTGGATAGAGCATTGGCCTGTGGACTGAAAGGTCTTGGGTTCGATTCTGGTCAAGAGCATGTACCTTGGTTGTGGGCACATTCCCAGAAGGGGGTGTGCAAGAGGCAGCTGATTGATGATTCTCTCTCATCGATGTTTCTAACTCTCTATCCCTCTCCTCTCCCTTCCTCTCTGTAAGAAATCAATAAAATATATTAAAAAACAAAACAAACAAACAAGCAAACAAACAAAAAAACTACAAGGCATGCACGAGTGTGTGAAGAGAGGGCTGGTAACTGAGTATGAGGCTGGCTTTTTCAATCTGCAGGGAGACACAGCTCCCTACTGCTCTGAACTCCAGTTCCAGGAAAAACTCTAGAGACCCAGACTCATACAGGGAGAAACTGGACTGCCTGGCAGCGGGCAGAACTCAAAGGCAACTTTCTCTCAGAGATGCTTGCAGCATTTACCATGGGACACTGACACTCAGGAACCTCGAAGGGCAGGGCTGATGGGAAGTCATTACTATTTGCTCCGTCCTGAGACTCCCCCCATTCAAGCTGTGCACAGAGGCTTTTTCATATGAATGGCTTGGTCTTTTGAACACTAATCTTACCTAACTAACTTCAGCTGAGTCAGAGAGACCCATGATATCCAAAAGAAGGCCCAAGGCCCCTTGCATACAAAAGAAGGCCCAAGGCACAGCAGCTTGTATTTCTTCACAGCTGGTCCTCATCTTGGCATCTCCAAAACCTAAACAAAGAAGAGGAATCTGCAGATCTCTCCATAGCTCCTGCTGTGTGGCCTCAGGCAGAGAGTAAATTAGTACCTCCTTGGAGATCCAAGAGCCAGTGTACCCAGGAATCAGAGTAGGACCATCCACATTACAACTCTTCAGATTTATAAGGGACACACTCAGGGAGCAGATTCAGTGAGCACCAAAGCCCAACTGAAGCAAGTCTTGCCTCATGAAGGTGTCTCCAGCACAGAAGTTCTTTCATTGTAGACACAGTTGATCCTCACAACCAATTGGCCTGTAGGTCAATTACTCCCAGTGATACCAACAACAATCAAGGCTTAACTACAAGATTGTACACACAGCCCACAAAGGGGTGCACCTAGAATGTCCTCCTCAGATATCTGCGGAGACTGAGCCACTGGGCCCTATAAGAACATCTAGCCATAAAGCCACCCTATCAACTCAGGGAAAAGTTGTCTCAATGCAGAGACAACTGAGGTCACAAATGAAAGAAATGGAGGAAAGCAAACTACTGGATATAGAGTTCAAAACCAAGGTTATTTGGTTTTTAAGAATTTTTTAGAAAAGGCTGATAAATTTAGTGAGACCCTTGAGGATATGAAAAAGGACCAACTAGAAATTAAGTATACACTGACTGAAATAGCATACAGAGATCCAACAGCTGACAAGAATCAAGTCAAAGATTTGAAATACAAAGAAGTAAAAAACATCCAATCAGAAAAGTAAAAAGAATCCTAAAACATAAAAATAGTATAAGGAGCCTCTGGGACAACTTCAAGTGTACCAACATTGGAATTATAGCAGTGCCAGAAGAAGAGAGTGAGCAAGATAATGAAAACTTATTTGAAGAAATAATGACTGAAAACTTCCCCTACCTGGTGAAAAAAGTAGAGTTACCTTAAGCACAGAGAACCTTAAACAAAAGGAATCCAAAGAGGACCACACCAAAACACATTATAATTAAAATGCGAAGAGGAAAAGACAAAGAGAAAATATTAAAAGTAGCAAGAGAAAAACAGTTAGTTACTTACCTACAAGGGAGCACCTATATGATTGTTAGCTAATTTCTCAACAGAAACTATGCAGGCCAGACAGGAGTGGCAAGAAATATTCAAAGTGATGAATAGCAAAAACCTACAACCAAGATTACTCTACCCAGCAAAGCTATCATTTAGAATTGAAGGTCAGATAAAGAGCTTCACAGATAAGAAAAAGCTTAAGGAGTTCATCACTGCCAAACCAGTATTATATAAAATTCTGAAAAGTATTCTTTAAGAAGAGGAAGAAGAAGAAAAAGGTAAAGATAAAAATTATGAACAACAAATACATACCTATCAACAAGTGAATCTAAAAATCAAGTGAATAAAAAATCTGATGAACAGAATAATCTGATGAATATAATAGAATCAGGGGTATAAAAAGGGAGTGGACTGACAATCCTCTAGAGTAGGGGTGTCGAACTCAATCAGAGAAGGGGCCAAAATCTAAAATCCAGCCTAAATCGCGGGCCGAATGGTTTACTGAACAGTCATAAACTGTCATTGTGATGGAAACGCAGCAGCGGAGTGCAGTGATGACAGCGCGGTGCGGGCCACATTGCAAGGCCTGGCGGGACGGATTTGGCCCGCGGGCCTTGTGTTTGACACATGTGCTCTAGAGGAAAAGGGTGTGGGGGTGCAGAAAAAGACTGGACAAAAATCATACACCTATGGATGAGGACAGTGGGCAGAAGCGTGGGGGGGTAGGGGGAGGAGGGGAGCGGGAAGGGCATGGGGTGAGGTGGGAACCAGGTGGAGGGGAGCATTGGGGAGGGGGGAAAGAGGAATAACTGCAATAATCTGAGCAATAAAAACTTTTTTAAATAAAAAATAAATAAATAAAAAAGAGGAAATAGAGGAAAGAAGTATGGAATACCACCAAACAAAAACAACAGACAGAAACACAAAGGAAAAGAACTAATGAAGGCATAGAACTACCTGTGAAAACAAAAGATAAAATGGCTATAGGAAATCCTCATACATTAAAGATTACTCTAAATGTAAATGGTCTGAATTCACTAATAAAGAGGCACAGAGTGAATCAAAAAACAAAATTCAACCACATGCTGCCCATAAAAGATGCATCTATTATAGACTTCAAAGACAAATGTAGATTCAAAGTAAAAGGGTGAAAATGGCTCTTTAAGCAAATAACATCCACAGAAAAGAAAGTTTAGTGTAGCCATACTTACATCTAACAAAATAGATTTTAAGATATCAAAGGTAACAAGAGACAAAGATGGACAGTTTATAATGATAAAGGGAACACTATATCAAGAAAACAAAACACTTTTTAATATATATGCACTCAACCAGGGAGCACTGAAATATATAAAATACTCAGAGTTAGAAAGAAAAAAAAAAAAAGATCAAAACACAATCATAATTGGAGACTTTAACACTCCATTGACAGCTCCAGACAGATCAAACAAACAGAAAGTCAGTAATGAAATATCAGTCCCAGCTGGAAGGGCTCAGTGGTAGAGCGTCAACCTATGAATCAGGAAGTCACAATTTGATTCCTGGTCAGGGCTCAAGCCTGGCTTGTAGGCTCCATGCCCAATGTAGGGCATGCATAAGGCAGCCGGTCAATGATTCTCTCCCATTCTTGATGTTTCTATCTTTTTGTTCCTCTCCCTTCCTCATCCTATCTAATAAAAGTATAATATGCAAATTAACCATCATTCTGCTATACCCACAAGCCACACCCACCAGCCAATCAGAATGAGTATGCAAACTAACCCCAACCAAGATGGCTCCAGCCCCAGAGAGCAGGAGGAAGTCTTGGGTTTCCCTGACAATGGAGGAAGCCAAGATTTCTGCCTGCCCTTGCCAGCTTAGACCTCTACTCAAGGCGACAGTTTCAATTATAGAAAATAAATAAATTCTAACAGAAAGGGCAGCAGCCACAGAGCTGAAAGAGCAGAAGGCTAGGGTTGCCCTGGTGATGAAGCAAGCCAAGCTTCTGCAGCCCTGGCCGGCTCAGGC